CAACACCATTCACTGTAAGCTATCATCTTGGGGTCTCGTCCAGGATCTTCGAGACAAGAACGTTCAGGGCTGGGACTCTTTTGCTCTTTTAACATAAAGTCTCTGCTTTCCTGACTCAGTGTGCCTGTCTGTGTGAATGCACAAGAAGCCAGAGCTGTGTCTTGCTCCACGGTTCCATGATGATCCTCAAATGGCGTGTGCCTGGCGGGGGTTTATGCTGACCTGCCAGTGCCAAGAGGCATCCAACGTCCTCACGAGGGGAGCGGCCAAAAATGGATGAAGAGTATGGACCGAACTTCTTTTCTCTGGTCAGCCTTTCCTGGTCTGACTGCTTTCATAACTGCTCGAGGAATTCAAGGTACTAACCTAGTGTGCCGGATTGTAGACTGCCAGGAGACTTACAATCCATGCGGTTATTGAGTTTCTCCAGCCAGAGCCCCATTGCAAGTGTTACAGGACGCTGCAGGCAGGAACACATCAGGGAGCTAAGTGGAGCTCTAGCTCCAGGGACACCTCTCAGACTGAAAATCACCCTCCTGACCCCAGAGGCCCAGAGGTGAGTTCTTGTTATGGCCATGCCTCCGGACTATATGAATGGATGCATTACTGGTGAACATGAGATTCCTGAGGACTCACATCAGGGAACCCCAGATTTGGGCAGATTAGAAATGCAGCGGGCTTCTTCCCTTGGTAATGCAAGCTCTTAGTGGACCAAAGAAAGCCATCCAGTGACCTTTGTCTCAACTCTTTAGACATTCTTTTTGTACAATCTGCTGGACAGGAATAGAAAGGGTGACCCTGACACTCCATGAACATGAAAGATTCTTCTTTCCCTAGCAGGCCAGCCCTCTATCACCTCCTTTATCACATAGGCTGATATGGCAGCTCTCAGAAGGGACATCTTGGCTTTTCTGTTCGGCCCTTTATAACTTACCGCTTCTACTGCGGCCAGGAATATGCTGAGGATATGCACAGGCACACGGAAGGTGGGTGTTCCCCTAGTGGTCTTAGCTTGGGAGATCTTCTGGAAGGCTACTCTGCTCTACCCCAGGTGGCCTCAGAGGAGGAGCAGAAATCAGGCAAAGGTGTTAATGGTGAGGAACTGGACATCAATCTGGGATGCCATCAGGTCCACCCCTGGTGCATCTCCGCCCCTCCTCGGTGGTAGAACCGGGAGGGATGAGAGTGGGACAGCTGCGCTGGTGAGGACAGGTTAACTCCGGCTGGGGAAGGCAGCTTAGGTGGAAGACCTGCCTCCACCCCCATCTACAGCAGGGAGGGATGCCTCTGGTAGAAAAAAGCCACAATGCTGAGTGCTGTTTTTTTCTCTCTTACATATGGGAGCTAACAGTTCCAGAACCACCCCCTTTGAATTGTATCTTGAAAAACTGGGATAAGTTTCATCCCCGGAGCTTAAAAAGCCCCTTCAAAACAGGCTTTCTTTACTTTAAGAAAAGTCCTTACCTCCCCAGAGAGACAATCCCTGCTGGGACAACACCTTATCAGTAAGGCCACCCCTGTCATCACAGCCAATTTGAACACTCCCTGGTTTAAATTTTAGGTATGAAACTACGACTACAAAAAAGAGAGATGACATTTTTTATATTGAATGGCCATGATACTCCTTAGACTCTGGAGAAAACTGGTTAAAATGAAATCTTTTTGAAATTGCAAAACCGGTTATTTTTGCACGTGCAATTAGGAAAAAGCTGGTTTATTAAAATACTTTTTTTGGAGCTCCAACCCTGCCTGAGAAACAAACACATACCTGGGGAAAAAACCTGAAGTTACCTCTTATCACGTCCTTGAGATACACAGCCTATTCTGTCTGGGACTCCAGCCATGAGCAAATTGGTAGAACTTCAGGGCAAGGTGAAAAAAAAGGCAAATAGACATTTTAAATTTCAAGCAGAAAACTGAGGGTTCTGTCTGTCCAGATAAGTGTGTCCCAGTGTGTGTCTCCGTCCTTGGACAACATCGCTAAAGGCTAACTGGTCAATGAGCTCTATTTAATTGGCCTAAAGAGAAGTAAGGGTTTACGAATCAAACAATTCTAAATCCAAGAAAATTAAACTGAAATGAATTTCAGGCTTGTGTGAACTGGGAAATATTCACTATTGAATTGATACCCGGTATTGATGTTTGTTTATTGATCTAATTAACATAGACATTGTGAAGACACTTTTGCAAATGATATAGCTTTGGGTGATTTATATTTACCATTCTACAAAATGATGATATAAAGTACAGTTCATGGTTGCTGAAAGAAAGTAGGATGTGTGTTTTCCATAAAAAGTCATAAGGAATGGAATTACATTCTATTAAGGAAAACTAAGTAAATCTGAACTTACAGGTAGCTGTGCTCTGAATGGGCAAATAAAATGATAATACAGAAGTATAAAAAGATTTGTGGCAAGGAGAAGAGAGTTTGGTGCATGATACAAATTTCTTAATACATTAAACTGTCTTTGAAATCTTTTATTGTTACTTTGACTAACTGAATAACTATTGTTTCACAGTGAATATAAGCTGTTACCAATCCGGAATTTGGTTTTCTCTTCCTGTTAAAAGAACACAGTTTTCTTTAAATGTGGCTTTTGGTGACAGACTATGGCACACATAGACAAAGCTCATTCTGCTTCTACAAAAATTAACCCCTCATCAGGGAACTTAAAATAGATAAACAATGACTATAAACTAAACAGTNATTCTTGCTGCTTGCTCCTTATATCTGTAACTGTATAATAAACTTTGTATCTAAGCAGCTTGAGACATTTAAGTTACTAATGATGGTTCATGGTTCTACAGTTTTTACTGCCTCCTCTAGCTATTACTCAGGGCCCCTGGATCAGAGACCCTCGATATGAGGGTAAGGAGAGTATGTTGTCTCAACAATTTAGGGTCTGTGCCCCTTACCAGCAGGAAGAAGTTATGGAACAATTTATCTGCCCCTTTCCCTGGCAACCATATTCTCCTAAAAGAAAAGGGGGGGAATAAAAAAGGGGGGAATGGAAGACTTAAAGCTTGGGCAGGCAGTCCAAGGCCCTTTAAGGAGGATGTGAACATTCTCGGCTCATGCTTTCCTTGAGCCTTATGCAACAATGTATCTTACATGAGAATTGGCCTTTCTTTAGGTCCAGGAACTAATGATTACATAGAACATTTTATTCATGGAAATGCTTTTCTTAGACTCTATGTTAATGATTATAATGGTAACATATCTTGGCTGGGAACCTGTTTCTCAAGACTTGTATCCCTGATTACACAGCAACAGTATATCTCCCCCAGAGACATTGCCAGAACCATTCTCCCTGGCTAATCTTGTGCCAAAGTTATCTCAGGATGTAGGGCTTGGGAAAGGCTCTGGGAACTTACAACCTTGAGGTATCCTTTTTGCCTATTCTCAGCAGCTAGTTAAGAAGCATATAAGGCCCCACTTAAACAAGTGAGGTGGGTACTCTCCTCCAGCTTCCAGTGCCTCCTGTTGGAAGCTTTCTCTATCCCCATTACTTTAATAAAATCTACACAAAACTCTGAGTAACTGAGATTGTCTTTGGTCCCAGAGTTAAATCTTCTCCTTCCGAGACCACGAATCTGGAAGCACCATTTACCATAAGCTGTCAGAATCTCCAGGCAAGAATACTGAAGTGGGTTACCATTCTCTTCTGCAGGGGATCTTCCCAACCCAGGGATTGAACCCAGGTCTCCTGCATTGCAGGCAGATTCTTTACTGTCTGAACCACCACGGAAGCCCAAATATTGAAGGTGTAACCACCCAACACGGGGCTTGAACCCATGACCCTGGGATTAAGAGTCCTATGCTCTACTGATTGAGCTAGCAAAGCCTTGATTAACTCCTGTCATTCCCCTTCCCCAAACCAAAACATAGAACCTTGATCCCCACATTCCCAGCACCAGGTACTTGCTTAGGTACTGTTTCAAACCAGAGACAACTCAAAATGGTTTCCATTCATCCATGCAGAGGAAACCTCTCTCAAAGGCCCCAGCAGCCATGCATATTCCAACACTCCACTCCAACACACACACACACACACACACACACACACATGAACACACATGAAGATCTGGTCCCTTAACATCAATCCAGGTTGAGTTGACTTTCCCTGCCCCATTGCCAACAAGCACTTGACCCCTGGCAACCATCCCCATCCCTACCCCCACACACATGTTCATCCTCTGGCCCCATTCAGCCCACTTTTACTCCACCAGTTTAGAATTATAATTCTCACAGGCCTATATCAAGATCACACAACAAAGATACAAGATTATACTTCTTTGGTCAAAATGTACATATAATATCAATAATAATACCTCACATAGCACCAGACTAACAAAGAATCTGTTGACATTTTCCTCATTTTCCCACAAAGTTCTTGAATTTTCCAGCTCTACTACTCTCCAGGTATGATCTATAGACACACAACTGGAATAGGAGAAGGGAATGCTTTGAACTTATGACACAGAATTCTATGTACCTATACCCACATGTTAAATATCTGAGACCAGTGTGGGCTCAAAAGGAGCATGCAAGATAGGCAGTGAGTCCATCACAACCACCCAACCTCAGGTGCTGCAGTGGTGGATAAACCAGAAACTGGAAAGTCACCACCATCCAAAGCAAATGAAGGCAGACTGACAAAACAAGGACAGTAGGGGAATTCAAGTCCTGTTTCGGTGACAAGTATTAAGTCCACTAGGAAAGCTGCTGGAAGAAAAACCCTTGTGTAGAACATGGCAGGATTTGTGTCAGCTTTGCTAGGAACATGGTTTGAGCAGGATGAGGTGAGAAGCCCCATCTCTCCTCCTCTTGCCTCTACCGATCCTGACACAGAAAACCAACCTTGGCCCCAGACACCACAGCCTGGTGTCTCCACAAAGCACAGCCAAGCTCACAGGCTTGGGCCTAGAATTCTCCACTGTGTTGCTCTCAACCCCAGCCCCCAGCAAATCCCCAAACCTGAGAGCTTCATAGGGCTTGCCTTTAATCAGCCGTTCAGGTCTCGTCCCAGGTAAGGTCCACATTGCCTGGGCCAAGTGTCCAAAGACAGTAGCGTCGAGGGTGGAGAGCTTGGGCCCCATGATGTACTTCTTGTCACCTGCAGCAGAGAGAGCGAGAGGTCACTGGCCGGCCCTTGCTGTCCTGCTAAGTCACAATGGCATTCAGCATCTTCCATCACACATGTGCTTAACAGGGCATCAAAAGCTTTGCAAAACCAAATGCATGCACCTCCTTTTACTGAAAACTAGAAACAAAAGTAAAACAAACAATTCTGTAATATATCAACTGATATGAGAGCACAGCAGGGAAGTAACTGGGAACATACCAGGGTAAGCAGATGAGGGAGGGGGTTCATGGAGAAAAGGGAGAACTGATCACCCCCAGGACCCCAGAGGTACCTCCTTGTCTCCAACTCTATTTGTGAAAGCTTGAGACGCTTAAGAACATCTGGTCATTTGCTTAAACCATCTCAAGAGTAGCCCCAATCAAGCGCAGCTAGCCTCGGCACTTACTTTATTAAATTAACACATTTCCTCGGGGAGAACCAGAACCCTAAGCTACTTAGGAAGTTTGGAGGAGGCAAGGCCCTGTATGATGTCTCCATGGTCTTGGCAAGGTTCTCACCACTGAGCACCAACAGGAAACAAACATACAGAGAAGCTTTAAAACTGCAGGATAAAAAGACAGCCCAGGAGGCATCCTACTTCACATCCTGGTCCCACTGTTATTCACTATGAAAGCCTGCTCATTAATCAACCTCTCCAAGCCTCAGTTCTCCCATCTGGAAAAGGAGATGATATTAAAGGTATTTCTTAGGACCAATGTGGGGATTAAATTTCATTAACACATGTAAAGCACTTAGCACCAAATCTGGGTAACTCATCAAATATCAGCACTCTTTCTGAGAGCCCTTCTGTTTTTCCAGTCTATTCCATATCTCACCCATAGCTAAATCTCTAGGACATTCTTTTCATAGCGGCACTGCCTTTCACAACAATTTTTAATGATTTATGATATGGGCGATGAAATACAGTCCAAACTCAACCTGCAGTCCAAGACTCGTCACATTCTGCTCCCATCCCTGTTCCGGCTTTGCCCTTCTTTAACACAGGAGGCCTGGGACAGCCCCATTCACCTGCCCACTTCATGCTTCCCACTGCACACTTCTGCTCACGCTGCACCACACATCTCCTTGCCCTCCCAAACCCCACATGTGCCCCCTACTTCTCTCCATCTCATAAATTACATTCATCTTTCCAGCACAAGCCTTCTTTCAAAGCCATCTCACAGCAATGGAAGATTTCAGTTCACACAGCCCTCTTTCAAATTTCACTTTTACACACACGACCCAGATTCAGAGAGAAGAAAACATGTTAAAGGAGAGCTACAATGGCTTCCTGGGCCCCCAGAAATGTTGATTTCCTTAAACTGCTAAAAGGAAAGAGTCTAAGGGAAATGTGAGAGTACAATGTGAAGTCTGTTTGTTGTAGACTCCAAAAATTCTGGGGATCAAGAGGGAAAAAATGTACATGAATTTTATAAAAACTTAGGAAACCTAAAAATAGAGCCCATAAGACCATGATTTAAAAAAAAGAAAAAATAACAACAATAAATATAATCATTTGAATCCATACATCAACTAATACATATAGTGTTCAGCCCAAATTTGCTTTTTGGCTCAGAACATTAAAGCTAGAAGGACCCTGAGTTATTAATAATAACAGAAACAGACTAAAAATGCCAGCACCCAGTCTCCTGACGCCCAGCCTGATACTCTCTGCTCTGCACAAGATGCCACAGAGAGCTTCATCCTTGAGATAAAGACCTCAAGGGACAGCAGGAGGGTTAAGCTGTGAGTGTTTACAAAAGGATGCTTTTAATCAGGAGGGAATATAGAATATAGAAGGAGAAAAGAACAAAAGTCTAAGAGTTTTTAAGGTACTTGCCCCCTCCCTCAAAAAATGGATAGAATTTAGCATTCATGGTAGACACACAATTATACATGCATACACACACACACACACACACACACACACACTACAATTATAAATTTGAAGATTATAAAAATACTCTTTTATTAAGAAGTTCTCAGAGTACCCAATGGCAGAAAACTTTTTAAAAAACGTTCCTAATTAATTTTTTAGTTAATTTTAGACATAGAAAAGTTACAAAAAGAGCAGTTTCTGTATACCTTTCAACTAGCTTCTGCTAATGTGAGCAGCTTAGGTAACCATCGCAGAAGCAAGAGAGTTCCAGAAAAACATCTATTTCTGCCTTATTGACGATGCCAAAGCCTTTGACTGTGTGCATCACAATAAACTGGAAAATTCTGAAAGAGATGGGAATACCAGACCACCTGACCTGCCTCATGAGAAACCTGTATGCAGGTCAGGAAGCAACAGTTAGAACTGGACATGGAACAACAGACTGGTTCCAAACAGGAAAAGGAGTATATCAAGGCTGTATATTGTCACCCTGCTTATTTAACTTTTATGCAGAGTACATCATGAGAAATGCTGGGCTGGAAGAAGCACAAGCTGGAATCAAGATTGCCGGGAGAAATATCAATAACCTCAGATATGCAGATGACACCACCCTTATGGCAGAAAGTGAAGAAGAACTAAA